GTTACCGACATCTGGTGAAAATTTCATGTCATTAGCACCTCTAGTAATATATTTACTGAGAAAAATGGTGACGTGTTCAATACTTATTTTACCCACTATAGATAGATAGATAGATAGATAAGTGTTACTTCAATCACTGTTGCATGTGGGTGTGGCTACAGTAGGACTTCCTGCTCTGCAGTCAGTGTTGCCTCTTTTTGTTTTTCTTCTTTAACTTTAAATGAACTTAGTATTTTATCCTCATATCCTTGACCTTTAAATAGTTGGCTTTGTCCATTCATTGCCTTATTTTCTTGGAATCGCTCTAAAACTGGCTCAGAGATTGCCATAAGAGACGAACAAAATGCCACGTTATCAGATCAGTTAGCCCATCCTCACCCTTGCTTTCAGCCAGCAGCTCCTCTGTCATTAGCCCATCCTGTCGGTTCCCCAGAACAAAGGCCAAGAAGGACAGGATGAGGGCGTCCAGGATGCCCATGATGGCCAAGATGTAAGCCCAGCGCACTGAGCAGGCGCCCAGGCTGTATTTGTCCGTTTGCTCGCCGCACATTTTTCGGACCTCGTCGCTGTCCCAGCCGTCAGGGTAGATCATGCAGCCCAGGACGAGACAGACACCTGAAAGGTGGAAGGCATAGAGATGGGGACATGAGAAGGTAGAGTAAATGAAGCCAAAAAGGAGGTAAATCAAAGGAAAAAGACAGAATATTAGCTGAACAAGATGAGTACCTCTGCGCTTGTATATACATTTCTAATCCCATCCTTAGGTGGATTATAATAAAAGCGGTCAACAGCAAAAGCAACAGCCACAACCAGATATATAATCATTCATTATATTAGACAACTTCTGAACGTTTCTCCCTTTTCTTATTTTAAAAAGTGAAGAAGAAAAAAAAGCAACTTTCAACCATTTTTTGTTCCAAGCTTTGGCCCAAAGGGTAAACTAAATATTTCTGTCTGAGGTGTAGCTGCAGCACGATAAAAGTGGAATTCTTGCCCACTTTTCTTCTAGGTTTTGCTCAAAGCGTCAACGCCGTTTTCCTCATTTTTAACTTGAACAATGTTTTCCTCTGAGGCAGCGCTGCAGCAGCACAGCAACAACCCTGGGAAAAGAAGCTGAGTGTACAGTTATCCAACGTGCTCTCCACATTAATAATACAATTACGCCCCAACTTCTTTTTTCTTTTTTTTTATTTCTCTCTTTATTTTGCTGCCTTCTGAAATTTTTGATTCCACCTCGTCACTCATGAAACCTGTTTTTTCAAACTGTTTCCCTCACATCTAATAAAACAGAAGCAGGTGTGTTTTTATGCACAAACAAATGATTCTCACGTACGCAGAGCTGAGCACAAACACTGCAGTTTGTTAGTAATGCAGTCCCTGCTGCGCCTGAAATACATCAATAATTAAGAGATCAAGGGAAAAAGTGAGTAGGAGAAACATTAGGGTCATATTTATGATTCAGACCTCAGAGTACAGAGTATGACCAACCCTAGCCTCTTCTTCTTTATCTTAACCATCATTTACAGTAATAAATCCAAGGCTTCATGTAGCAAAACTATTCAATTTGATGCTGCAAAAACTATCGTTCTGTTATTTAATGTTGTAGCACAGAATTTTATTATTTGATAGTGATTTTAACAAACAGTACACAAGCCCCCTTAAGTTAACGCTTCACTCGCTTTTATGAATGAATAGAGTTCACTTAGTTGTTCATGCCTTGAGGCAGCAGCACTGAATCACACAACATGTTCAGAGATTTCACTCGTCCTCTGCTTGTGCCACTCACTGGACCTGAGCCATTTTCTGTGTGTTTAAACCTGGTTTCTGAGTCTGGTTCATGAGTCAGCAGACAGACAACTGCTGTGGATGTCAGAGTGAAGAGGAAAGAAGTTCATGTTTGATTACAGAAACTACAGAGTACAGCAAAGGTTAACTCGAGAAAACGTCAGCGAAAGCTCGATGTGAGTGCTGAGTGCTGGATGACTTCACTGAAATCTGCTTAACAAATATAAAAACGAGTTTTTAAGAAGCATAATACGAGCAATAAAAATTAAAACTAACACATGCTAGCTAAAAGAAAAGAAAATGCTAGCAAAATTGGGTGTAGCTTACCAACATGCATTCTAGAAGCTAATAAAACTAAAAAGCTTACTAAATATTAATAATAACTAAACCCTAAAACCAGCAAAGGGTTTACTATTAATAAAATGGTAGGTAAAAATAGCAAAATGTTAGATAAAAGTAACAAAATGTTAGCTAAAAATAGCAAAAGGATAGCTACAAGCTAAAGAAGCAAGACACTTGCTAAAAGTTAAATGGTTGGAGTTTGTGTTTTGTGTGTTTTCCTGTTTTCCTCCTAAGGAGATGTTTCCTGATTGGCCTAGCAGTGTTGATTGAGCACAGCTGCAGCTGATTGTCCTGAGAAGCTTCTGTGGGTATTAAAGGCTGTTCAGAAGGTCATACTCACAACTGCTCTGAGTGTCCTTTATCAGAGTTATACAGTATTTACCTGTGTCACATCTCTGTGTTTAGATTTACCTGTTGCCTCCTGAGACCTGGAAACTGTCCGTCACTCAGAGCTCAGACGACACTTTACCTGACTACTCTCCATCGGCTGCAGGAGAGCAGCAGCAGTCAGGTGTTGCCTGATTATGAGGAAGGGTGGGTCAGATCAGTGTTGCCAGGTGGGAAATGTTGAATTATCGTATCAGCAGCTCAAAATTATCGTATTTTGAGGAAAATTATCGTACACACACGATAATTATCGTATTTGTACCATAATTTTGCCCTCTGTACGATGTACGATCAATAATCCCAAAAATCCCATAATGTACGATAATTTGACCTCTCTAATGTGTGACGTAATTGACCCGACGTGCTTGCTCGCTGACATGAGAGGTGGCGGGTTGTGGAACACAGCAATGCCGATTTAGCGACTTTCTCGCTATATTTAGAC